TTTTTGGTGTTTATAGAGGCGATTACTATTAAGTAAAATTTAGTCTGTCATTTTGATCATTTGGAAAATAATTGTTTGAAAAAAAATCCTATTCTTCTTATCTATCTGATATTTTTTTTATTTATGTGTGAATCAATAAACCGAAAAAAGTGATGTTTTGACCATTGCTAGTTCATAAAAACATTTACTTATATTCGTTTTTGTAAAACATTACCACTATAAACTGTTTCTAGTCTTTCAATTATTGTCTCTTCCACTATAGGCTGTTTCATGTTATACATTTTAATTTTTGTAAGATTCATTTTATAAAGTTTGTTTTGTGAAAAGTTTGTTTAAAAATATTGATGTTTATACAAAAATTTCATATTAATAAAATGCATTTGTGATCTCTTTTGTCTTTGTGTTATTAAGCATTATTTGCTTATAGTCTGCTTCAAAAAGTAGGATTTTTTTTGGAAACAGACTATTTCATTCACCATTTTTCTTGGTTGATCCATGTTTTCCCATTGGATATTTCTTGGAAGCGCACTTCATGCGATTGAGTGGTAACCTTAGCGCAGTTGGGAGAGCGTTAGACTGAAGATCTAAAGGCCCCCGGTTCAATCCCGGGTTCCGGCACGGAACACTCCGGCGGCTGACAGCCACACATTTTTCATTTTTGTAATAAAGATTTTCGGATCCTCGTTCTTCCTCTGTTCAGGATTCCCTTTCTTTACTTGATATTACAGATTGGTCACTATTTTTATTTCTCTCAAATTTTACAATAGTGTATATTTTCTTAATTCTGTATGAAAGTTTCCCTCCCTTTGTCTGCATGTCACTGGCTCAGAGTTCCTAGAGAAATCATCCAGCTGATTAAGGTGAATGAGTTTCCACATAATTATATAAATTGTATTACATGTATGTATCATTATTAAAATGTAAATATAAGAAACGGAAGTCAAATCGGAATTTAATTTGTATACAGTGAACCTTCAGATATCCGGATGCTTCAGACGATTTTTCATCGGAACGGATTTTTTAACGTTATTTTGTCTTGTTTAACTGGTTATTCAGGAATCCGGACGCTTTATATATCCGTACAAATTAATTGACTAGGAACCAAAGCGTCCGGATATAAATGTGGCTCCACTGTATTCTTGCGAAGATGAGTTATTCTGGTGAGTTTTATCTAAAAGTTCGTTTCAACATAAAAAAGTTGAGGGTAACGAACAGAATTTAAACATAAACACGGACCTCCGGGAAGTCCAGAGGTGGATCAGGTAAAAGGGGGAGAAAGCATTCCCTGTCGATCGTTGTCATTTTGTAAATTTTGTATTTATTGCCACCCGGTAAATTAAAAAAAAATTACATGACAATGTTAAAATGGGTTCGAACAAGAAAAAAAGTATGTAGACGATAAGTGGACACAGTTTGTGATACTGTATGCATTTCTTAAGAAACTGGAAAAATAACCATACGTGTATAATTTTGAAATATTATAGATGAACATCAAACACTGGACTGCACAAACCATTTTATTTACATAATGCTACAATACATATATATAACTGAGAAATTAAGACTTTTTGAAAATCGTCTTAGCAATCACTCCGTCGCAAGTTGCCGTCTGAAACAAGATAAAAATGGATTATTTGTATAAAGCTTTTTTTCCATCTTTTTAAAAAATGAATTGTCTACATGTATCTAAAGGAAATTATCTTCCCATATTTTACTATGAAGTGTTATTTAATAGACAATTAATTTTTATTTAATATTAGACCTGTACGGTATGGCTTATTTAGTTTTCGAGCAAATATGCTTCTTTTGTTTTGAGATCTTCCTTTTTCGTCCCCACCAGGAGCATGTTTAGTTGTTGCTTATAAATCAAGGTGTCAGTGCCATATTTCATAATGGTTCCAACAAATTGAATATGTGATCAAGTTTGACCTTGACCTCAGACCTTGATTTTAGAAAATGATAAAAAATTATCTCGATATCTGTTCCAATCTAATTATATCTGTTCCAGATGACATACTAGTATTTTCATCATTATTATCTACAAAAGTGTAATAAATTACCGTCATGGAATTGATTTTGACTTTGACAAGATCGAATAAAATCTAAAGAAAAATATTTTTTCTGTGAAAGCATTTTCTGAAAAATTCATCAAACTTGCATCAAAATATTTTTATCTTACAACGACTTAACACTTACTTGTATTAGATTATCTCCCTCTATTTCTCTTATTACCACATTGTCTTTAGATTTTCCATCTGTAGCTTTTAATTCAATCTTCATTTTTCCATCAGAGTAGGTCACTTTTGCCTGAAATATAAAAATATAAACAAGTATAACTAAATCTAAATATTTTTACCTTTAAATGCTGCGGAAATGCATTGTGTTTTATGTTGTTACGAAGTTTTTCGTGTAAGCTTCAATTAAATAACTAAGTATCCAAAAAATCAAAACTTTTTTTTTCAAATCTAAGAAGTCAATTTACAAAGTTGAAAAATAAATGTACGACTAAACTAAGTGATCTAAAAAAATAATTTGTTTCTCTGTTTATTGTTACAAGAAGAAAAATAGTTTATTTTATTATCATGTATATTTTCTTCAACAGTACTTTATTATTAGGTTACGTTTGGTATCACAAATTTTGTCTTTAATTTAATAACACTTGTACGATGACCTCACTTCTTATAGGGGTACCTTGTATTTATGACGTCAGCTTGAAATTGGCACCTTGTATTATGACGTTTCCTCTCTGACAGTACTTGTATTCATGACGTAACATATGAGTTGTCTGTATAAATCCTGTAATGGTTTTTATGACGTCACTATATTGTATTGTCTGTAAGCTCACCTTGTATTTATGATCCTCTTCTGAAACCTCGATTTCTTCATCCAGGGCAAACTGGTTCTTTAATTCCTTCATCGGGAGTTTCCGGACAAACTCCAGCTTTCCGTCTTTCACCGAGATGATCAGGTTTGGTTTCAGCACAGAGGCTGCCTTCCGTTTGATGATATTTACACCTATTTTTATCAACAGTATGCAGAGAATCAGGTTTTACTAAAATATTTTCGGGGAGACAGGTATTAGAACTGTTTTATATATGAAATATGTGGAGGTAGGGAACAGTATTTGAGCTCAAAAGTCCATTAAAAGTTACAAAAAAGGAGCAGAGCAAACATGAACCTCCAAATGGGTTCAGGTGCCATGGAGGAGTGAGCATCCCCTGCCGACCATTCACACTCGCCGTGTGCTCCTTGTCATTTTCGAGGAGAGATTGAGAAAACAATGCCATAATATAAAGTCACGCTTAGTGAAGTCTTAATAACATTACAATATTTGATATTTTCAAAGACTGCACACATGTTCAGTTCATTTATCTATAAAGCACAGTCTGTATTTTGTATACTTCTTCACGATGTTTCCTTTCTGATGGCATCAATCTTTGCGTATCCTAACATGTTTAAAAGAAACATCAAGTCAACTGCATATTGTTCATGCATGCAATATAAATCATTGATACGTTTTTCTAAAGTGCCTACATGTACCCATATGCAAGGAAAAGGACCGATGCAATGGGCCATTGTTAATCGATACAAGACTCTAATCCTTTCAACGCCCTCAACTATTTGTTGAGAGGACGCTATAAGGAGAGGTAGTTCTGAGTTTTAAAATTAAAAACTTGTGTCCAATCCTTTTGTAGTAACATCTAAAGAACAAATTATTTTCCTACCATTTGTGTCCAACTGTCTATGGTACCGATTCAAAAAAAGTTGAAAAATTCAACTGGACGATGTTTTTGACATTATCTTGTAAAAAAAAAAGTCCAACCCCGACACCCCGCCCCCTCTACATTCTCGGATGTTGCCGTGCACAAATAACTAAAGAAGTCTGTTTGCTCTGTTGTAGTGGAAATCTACCCTCCTTTCTCATTTGGTTTCCTCGTCTCTTTTATATAAACATGTAAGCCTACCTGATTACATCCATCTTACCCATGGCTTCCAGGAATGGTTCCACGTTGTCTGTCTGTACACACTGCCAGTTCCCCTCAAACCTGCTCTTGATTTCCTCCAATGCCATGATTTCCAGCCTCTGAGTCAGGTAGAACGGATTTCTGTACTTTATATCTATCTAACCCGTTCCCCCTTCTCACCCCGACAGCTCTCGGCTGAATTAAAGAATCAATTCTATAAATATTAATGGTCATTTTAAAGTACACTCTCAATTTTAATCCCAAGTACGTTGCAAAATACCATTGATTGACCAGAGAAATATATGCCGAGGAAACGCCATGTTAAATAGTGATTTAAAAATTGAAATGTATATATATATTCCATAAAGGGCGTTTCAAAAATTCCTATTAACCACAACTTTCTTTCATTCTTAAAAAAAAAAACAAAAAAAAAAGAAAAACAAACAAACAAAAAGAAACAAAGAAAAAATGTTATGTTCGCAGAATCAATCTTGATATTAATAGGGTCTTAAATGTATTGTTTGAAAAGAAATGGGCAAGTATTGAAAAAAAAATTGATGTCTGCGCGGAAAAAATCATTAAGGCACCAGATCAATATATATTTTTAATTCCTTGAGCAAACTTTATTAAGTCAATATACCAATATGACAGACCTACTCTTGTTAAGGTGACAGAACTTCCTTCTACCTGAACTCATAAGTTATAAGCTGTGTAATGAAACACGAAGTTTATAGTCCTACATTTTCACAAAAATTAATGACCAGCAGTTCTTAATCTGTCAGTTGGATTATTTAAATATAGCTTTTTTTTCGCTGGAAATTGCCCGTTGCTTAGAAAATCATTACGTTTTTTTCCACGAGTTTTCTGGACATGCAATCTTCGTTGTAATAATAATTATTTCTTACATATCTAATAAGTTGCATTTTCTTCAATCATTTCTTAATTATATAACTAGTCCCTGGTAAATAAAGAAAACAAACTTTCCGGTACATATTAAAGAATTTTATTGACAAATAAATGAAATAAACAATTTCAAAAAACATATACATTAAAATTAAACAGATCTAGGACTTTTTGAATGTTGTTTTCGCTGTAACTCCATTGCAAGTCGCAGTCTGAAAAAATGAAAGAAACTGAACTTAACAACAGTCAACTAAAAAAGTTATGTTTGATTGTTTGAATTAATTAAAAGAACCTTCGTTTATCTTACAATGACGGATCAATTACTTGGATTATAGATTACCTCCCTTTATTTTACATTGACTGATAACTTACTTAGATAAGATTACCTTCCTTTATCTTACATTGACTGATCATAAACTTGGATTATCTTCCTTTATCATACATTGACTGATAACTTACTTGGATAAGATTACCCCCTTCTATCTCTCTGACTACCACATTGTCTTTAGATTTACCATCCACTGCTTTGAATTCCATTTTCATTTTTCCTTCAGAGTATGTGAACATTGCCTACAAAAAAAATATAGAGTCACCTTCACAAAGGCAAAAATGTCCTATAAAAATCAACATTCGGACTCTATACCGTGACTTGATACATGTACGATGGGGTAGGGCAAGCTTTATACTGGGACTCTGTACCCTGATTTGATACGATGGGATAGGGCAAGTTTTATACTGGGACTCTATACCCTGACTTGATACGATGGGATAGGGTAAGTTTTATACTGGGACTCTATACCCTGACATGATACGATGGGATAGGGCAAGTTCTATACTGGGACTCTATACCTTTACTTGATACGATGGGATAGGGCAAGTTTTATACTGGGACTCTATACCCTGACTTGATACGATGGGATAGGGCAAGTTTTATACTGGGACTCTATACCCTGACTTGATACGATGGAATAGGGCAAGTTTTATACTTGGACTCTATACCCTGACTTGATACGATGGGATAGGGCAAGTTTTATACTGGGACTCTATACCCTGACTTGATACGATGAGATATGGCTAGTTTTATACTGGGACTCTATACCCTGACTTGATACGATGGGATAGGACAAGTTTTATACTGGGACTCTATACCCTGACTTGATACGATGGGATAGGACAAGTTTTATACTGGGACTCTATACCCTGACTTGATACGATGAGATATGGCTAGTTTTATACTGGGACTCTATACCCTGACTTGATACAATGGGATAGGACAAGTTTTATACTGGGACTCTATACCCTGACTTGATACGATGGGATAGGATAAGTTTTATACTGGGACTCTATACCCTGACTTGATACGATGGAATAGGGCAAGTTTTATACTGGGACTCTATACCCTGACTTGATACGATGGGATAGGATAAGTTTTATACTGGGACTCTTTACCCTGACTTGATACGATGAGATAGGGCAAGTTTTATACTGGGACTCTATACCCTGACTTGATACGATGGAATAGGGCAAGTTTTATACTGGGACTCTATACCGTGACTTGATACGATGAGATAGGGCAAGTTTTATACTGCGATTCTATACCCTGACTTGATACGATGGAATAGGGCAAGTTTTATACTGGGACTCTATACCCTGACTTGATACGATGAGATATGGCTAGTTTTATACTGGGACTCTATACCCTGACTTGATACGAAGGGATAGGACAAGTTTTATACTGGGACTCTATACCCTGACTTGATACGATGGAATAGGACAAGTTTTTTACTGGGACTCTATACCCTGACTTGATACGATGGGATGGGCAAGTTTTATACTGGGACTCTATACCGTGACTTGATACGATGGGATAGGGCAAGTTTTATACTGGGACTCTATACCGTGACTTGATACGATGGGATAGGGCAAGTTTTATACTGGGACTCTATGTCGTGACTTGATACGATGGGATAGGGTAAGTTTTATACTGGGACTCTATACCCTGACTTGATACGATGGAATAGGACAAGTTTTATACTGGGACTCTATACCCTGACTTGATACGATGAGATATGGCTAGTTTTATACTGGGACTCTATACCCTGACTTGATACGATGGGATAGGACAAGTTTTATACTGGGACTCTATACCCTGACTTGATACGATGAGATATGGCTAGTTTTATACTGGGACTCTATACCCTGACTTGATACGATGAGATATGGCTAGTTTTATACTGGGACTCTATACCCTGACTTGATACGATGGGATAGGACAAGTTTTATACTGGGACTCTATACCCTGACTTGATACGATGAGATATGGCTAGTTTTATACTGGGACTCTATACCCTGACTTGATACGATGGGATAGGACAAGTTTTATACTGGGACTCTATACCCTGACTTGATACGATGAGATATGGCTAGTTTTATACTGGGACTCTATACCCTGACTTGATACGATGGGATAGGACAAGTTTTATACTGGGACTCTATACCCTGACTTGATACGATGGGATAGGATAAGTTTTATACTGGGACTTTAGTTTTAGCCTCTCGCTATTTTTCAGAATATCAGAAAGCGTAAAAGATGAAAATAAACTTAATTCTTTTTCAAGTCAACAATTTTATAGTGCACTCATTTTTTAAAATGAAACTTATTCTTTGGATCGCTATATTTTATTGCTGGATATTTCAAATATTTTATTTAGTCCAACAGGATCAATTCAATTCGTACTATGCATGAAACCACATATTAATCACTGCTGTAAACCCTAAAGAAGTACATGTACTAGTTTCAGTCATTTGACATATTGATAAAAAATTAGAGAAGAAGAGATCTCTGTCAGTGTGTTTAAATGGCAATATCAAGAGTAACAAAAGTATACTAGATGTTCATACACTCCTGTTAAAGCAAATTTTATTTAGTTTAAAGCGGAAGGGGGAGGGGCAAAACCAATTAATTAAAAAATCTCATGAGAAGCAAAAATTCATCTGACAGATTGATGGGATTTATTCTTGTCCAAATCGTAGCTGTGTGTTTTCTGTAATATGTGTAACGCATGTTTACATCAGCAGATTCATTTATGGAGGAAGGGTGCTATTTCCTGCTCCCGGTAACGCTGAACATGGTATGTACATTGTTCATGTACCTATTGTAAGGTTGCTATAGCGACAGAAGTATATTCCTTGTATTTGTCCTATTTGAGACACAGATGGGCTACATACCTTAAATTTATGGTCGTCGTCGCTGATATCATTCTCTTGGTCTAGTACGAACTGGTTCTTTGTTTCCTTGATCGGGAGTTTCCGGACGATCTCGACCTTCCCGTCCTTGACCGAGATAATCAAGGTCGGCTTCAGCTGAGCAGCAGCCTTCCGTTTGATAAGATTAACACCTAGAAATACAGAGGCAGTTGTCACATACAGAACAGTTTATATATCTATAGAAATGTGTGGCATTTAAAAACACTATTTTAAATTAAAACGTATGTATTTAAGAATATTAGAGGATTTTTTTCGAAAAAAAGAAAAAAAAACTCTTAATTTAAAATCTAATTCTGCATACATAATTTACATTATATTGAATATGATTTCAATAATCTTTTAAAAAGGGATTTAGTAAGAAAATTTCTGCAAAAACAATTTTGAACAGAATCATTCATTTAAAAAAAAAACAAAACTTTTCACTATAACGTAAATTCTTTTGTAAAAAGGGCCTGATTTTATTGTTAATTTAATCTAATTTTAATTTTTATCATAAAAAACCCACTTATAATTAAATCAAAACAAGCAATATTAACTTTTTCAAGAGTGCAGTGAAAAAATATTCACTATGTATGAACTTTTTAAATTGTAATTTTTATATCTTACCCATTGCCTCAAGAAAAGACTCTATGTTTTCGGCTTTCACGCACTCCCATTTTCCCTCAAATTTACTCTTAATTTCGTCCAGGGCCATATTTATTCGTGTGTTACTACACTTCCGCGGTGAGTCTCGGGCTCTATAGTTGTGTAGGAGGTCTCGGTCTTTATATACATTTCCCACCGTTCTTCATTCTCACCCCAGACATCCATGGATGAGTATGAATACAAACATTGTCCAATGTATATTTACTTCATCTCCTGTACCAACACTTTACAAATACAGAGTGAATTTTAAATTGAGTTGGATCGATTCATTACACAGACAAGCGGGTGGAAAAGGTCGCTGGGTATCTGTGAACTTTTCAGTAGAAATACTCTTTTAATAAGCACAGTAAA